CGGTCTGATGGGATGACCCGAGTTGTTGTTTTTGGCTCGGTGGCCTCGTTAAACGATGATACCGTCTGTACGCACGTTGAACTTCTTTCGCGCCGTACGTAGCCGACAGTGCTCATCGGAGGTGCGGGGGGGGGGAAGGACAACAAACTAAACGCAATAAGCACAAAAAAAAAATCTGTTTTCAATGTTGATTTAAAAGCACATAACTCCAGTGGCTTTCCCGATATCGGAAGCGAAGAGCGTTCCAGACGGGCCGCAGAAGCGCCATCGCGGCTGCCCGTCTTAGTCCGATGGCCAGCCAAAGAAGCCGCTACGACAACCCGGCCACACGTTCAGCTCTGCCGAGTTGGTGGTCACGGCAATGCTGAGAGCACCGCGCGTGTAAAATCTGGTGGCCACCTGACTTGCGTGCGAGGCTTGACGTGGGCGTCGTGCCTCCCTGCTGCTTGCGCGCGGGGTCAAACGGAGACCGCTGGCGAACACCGTGGAGTTCTCATCGATGACCCCCACCACTGCGACTTTGACCTCTCGAGAAAACCTAACGGAGCTTCCATCCACCGCTTCAGGACGGCAACTCATCACCGCGCCACGCACGCATCCCCCCTACGGCACGCGTGTGGGATTGAAGGCAACCCACGCGGTGCGGCATGCGGCCCACCGGGACCAGGCGACCGCATCCGACTGGCGCGCTCTCTCCGGCGCACCTAGCGGGATTAGTCGCGGCTGACTCCCGAATGCTATCGAATGGCTCACAGAAGTTGAGCTTGGACGCGTGACTTGCACGCATACTCGCCACACGCCAAGGAGGGGAAAGCCGCTTGCGTTTCTCACTGCGAGCGCCGCCTTCGTCGTGAACATTTTGACAGCGAAAAATTGGCGACGGTGTCGCAGGTATTTCCACATTTGGAGGAAATAGATTCACGGCCAAAGGAATAAGTCGGTCGCCGACGAGCCAAAGGTCACTCGCATTCATTACTTCGTCTCGAGTATCGCCCCTGTTTACCAAATTCTGCGATTGAATACATTTTGTGAGAGCAACAGCGAAACTCGCAAAAGGCCGCAACTGCAGCAGCGATTTACAGCATCACACACTTTGAGATAATATTTGGTTGGTTATTATTTATATTTATATACATTATAGAAGGCATACTCATACTAATAACGGACTGCATGGGAGGCAAGGAATGGCAACACATCGAGGATATCCGCCACTGAGGAGACAGACTGACAGAATCAGTTTGTGTGCAGGCGCTCTGTGTATTGTGCAATGTTAGGAGTGTGAGAATGTTGTGGCGGATTTCGGGTGGCCTTCATCCAGCAGTGGATCGACCATGGCGTAGCCACCACCGCTCCGGCTTCGATGCCGAGTGTCGACTGAAGTCACAGCGACCGTGAGTGTGTCGTGTTCGACTCGCTCACCCGTCCTCGCTGGACATCTGTGCAACAAAAACAGCAAAAGAGCTTCACGTCTCATCGGATTCCTCCTCCTCATCGTCCTCTCGCAAGTCTCAACAAAATTCTGATTCAGTCTTCACGCTGCTGGGCTTCGGTTTGTTGTTGTTGTTGAGCGAACGGCGACGTCGCCTTGGGGGTGACGCCCGCATGGCACGGCCACCACGTGAGGCTTCGCCATTTTCTTGTCGGGAATGTGTCCGTGTGTCCCACGAAAGACGCTACCAGCCACGCGGGAGAGAAACGTCGGACCCGTCCCGTGCCAACGCGACGCGCGCTTACAGGACTGCGACAACGGACACGGTCGAGGCTTCCCGCAAAAAAAATAGATGGCGTAAAATATATCAATGTGTCGTTAAACCCACCGCCACCCGACACGGCCAAATGAGTGAGGTGTGTCACGTAAACAGAACACGCCAATTGGTCAGCGGTACAGCGACGCGCCGGCGTGTCGGAGAGTAAAAACCCCATCGTAAATTAGGGACAATATTTGGGTCGCGAAAGCCAACGCGTTCAACCGAAGGGCGAGGTGCCTCCGTTTTCCCTGCGCAGCGCGAGCCGTCGTGGGGGGGAGGGGTGTGGGTGCAAGAGAGATCGGTTCCCCCGTTGGCATCGAGAAAACTTTCCGAGTCGAAGGAGACCTTTATAGAGGGAATGGGGAGCTTCTGTGAGGTCGAGCAGCCAAGTCACAGCACGATCGAGGTGGCCACATCCCAGACGTGGTCCATGTGTTGCGGTGAAACTTCGGAACGCAAGTCCCGGGCATTGTATAATGAGCGTACGCGCGCGCGCACTCGCCGGACAGATATTTATTTGATGAGCGTCCAAAGCAGCGTGACTGTACTTGCTATTCATAGGAACATTTGATCATAAAGCAAATCTAGATATGTTTTTGTTCTGTTCCAAGTGGCAAATACAGTTTCTAATAAAAACATTTTAAAATGTCCCTTCCTGGATGTTACGTGCCATTCTTTGAATGGATCCCAGCGCTATGTGTGTCTGTGTGTGTCTGTGTATGTCTGTGTGTGTGTGGCTGTATAGCGGTAGTGTAGCGGTTAGCGCTAAGCTGCGCTATGAACCTGGCAACCCGGGTTCGATTCCCGCTCACGGCCAACACCGGTGACGATTATTTGAACCGGTCCTGGGCCTCCCCTATGTCGACTCAGCCTCAAATGAGCACCTGGTGCGATGTGTAAACATCGCCACCTGGGGAGCCAAAGGTGGCCAGGCGTGGTGATGGCAACCCACCTCCTGAGGTGCCGTGACGACCTTCATAGGTGCTCGCTAACAGCACTTGCCCCAACAGTCCGTTAAAGCTACACGGGGGATCTTTGTCTTTGATGTGTTTTAACTCTTCCATCTGCGATACAATTGTCGCTGGGACAACTTCAACTATTAGCGTCTCCCTCGCATAGAGAATTTGAGCCAAAGTAGATGTGTTTTTTATTATATCATTTTTTCTATAAACATTACGTGACTTTACCGAAAGAACCAGAGAATATGGATTCCTGCAGTCACGAAAGCTTCAAATCAAGATTGAATCGTTGTGTTTACAAACATGCTCAGTTTGCAAGTGAAACACACACACACACGCACACAGATAATCTCTACAATTGAATCGCATTTGCAACACGTCACCTTCATCCACACACCGTCACGTGATGCCTGTCTAATGGCACAAGTGTCAATAGGGACTGGAAATGATGTCAGTTCGAGGCAAACGTCTGCGCACTATTAAATGATCGTTCTCTCAAACTTGCAACAAGCGCCATTCACGCGTGCACGTCCAGGCTATAACAGAGGCACACTCCGTGATCAATGGACGCATCCCCGATACATCGCCAAATCTCGCGGGCTGAGCTCCCGTGTGGCACCAGCGACGAGATCGTGAATGGAATGAGCAAGGCAGGTTCGGGTTTCTTTATTGGAGGGCAGCGGCAGATCGCAACCCACCCCCTTCCTCATCCTACTCCAAACACACAGCAGGCGCCACATATCTCGCCTGGTATGCGGGAGGTTCGTGGATTCGATCCCGAGCCTGAAGATGCCTGTTGTGTATTTGGAGTTTGCGTGTCTCTCTCTCATCATCATCAGCACGGTGGCAACGATATGTTAACTACCTCGCCTGGTATACAGGAGGTCGTGGGTTCGATCCCGACCCTGAAAATGCCTGTTGTGTATTTGTAGTTTGCGTGTCTCTATCTCATCATCATCACGGTGGTAAGGAGATGTTAACTACCTCGCCTGGTATACAGGAGGTCGTGGGTTCGATCCCGTGTCTGAAGATGCCTGTTGGGTATTTGGAGTGTGCGTGTCTCTCTCCCCGTGGTCGCGTGGATTTGTCTCGGGGTCCTCCCGGTTTTTCCCTCCACATTTACAAAACATGCGTTTAGACTATTAAGATGATTTTACTGCTAGAAATGTCAAAACGATAAACCCTGCCTGTAACAGACTGTCGGGGCAAGTGCTTGCTAGCGAATTCTACCGCTCCCCACACACACGCACGCACACACGCGTACACGGGCAAGCCAGCCAGCAAACTTCAAAAGCACTCCCATCACCCCGGTATGCCAGATCCCGCCTCTCAGCTCCTTCCGGGGATGCATCGGTGATTCCGAGTGTGCGTGTGAGTGCGTGGGTGGGTGGGTTGGTTGAACGGGTGTACATGCGGGTGAGTGGGTTGGTGAATGTGCGTGCGTGCGGTGAGTGAGTGGGTTGGTGAGTGAGTGAGTGTGTTGGTGAGTGAGTGGGTTGGTGAGTAGGTTGGTGAGTGAGTGGGTTGGTGAATGAGTGAGTGGGTTGGTGAGTGAGTGAGTGGGTTGTTGAGTGAGTGGGTTGGTGAGTGAGTGGGTTGGTGAGTGGGTTGATGAATGAGTGAGTGAGTTGGTGAGTGAGTGAGTGGGTTGGTGAGTGAGTGAGTGATTTGGTGAGTGAGTTGGTGAATGAGTGAGTGGGTTGGCGAGTGAGTGGGTTGGTGAGTGAGTGGGTTGGTGAGTGGGTTGGTGAATGAGTGAGTGAGTTGGTGAGTGAGTTGGTGAGTGAGTGAATGGGTTGGTGAGTGAGTGAGCGGGTTGGTGAATGAGTGAGTGGGTTGGTGAATGAGTGAGTGAGTTGGTGAGTGAGTGGGTTGCTGAGCGAGTGAGTGGGTTGGTGAATGAGTGAGTGGGTTGGTGAGTGAGTGAGTGGGTTGGTGAGTGAGTGGGTTGGTGAATGAGTGAGTGGGTTGGTGAGTGAGTGAGTGGGTTGGTGAACGAGTGAGTGGGTTGGTGAGTGAGTGAGTGGGTTGGTGAGTGAGTGGGTGAATGTGCGTGCCTGGTGGAGTGAGTGCGAGACGGGATTCTCCCGTCAGTTGGAAGCCGCCGGGTCTAGGTGGTGGTGGTGGTGGGGGTTGGAGCGTCTCCGTATTGGCCGCATGTGGAGCAGCAATCCCAGCACGACTGCGCTTGCCGCTGGAGGGAGGAGGGGGGCGGTTGGGGGCGTGGGGTGCAGCGGGGGGCTTCAGGTCACTTGCGGACCCGCGCGCGCCCTAATTGGGGCAGCAACGGGAAACGTGGAACCGGGCGGGCTCGGCAGAGCGAGAGACGCCCCGCGGGTAGAAGGAGAAGCAGAAGCAGCAGCGGCGGAGGCCACGGATTTAGTGAGCTGAGCGCTCTGTTGCTGGAACCGCGGCCGCGCCTTGAGGGCTCTGCCGAGGGCGTGCGGGGTGCGCCGACTCCGTCTCTCGCTCGCGGTGGGGGGAGGTGCAGCAGCAGCAGCCCCGGGCGCTTTCAACATTTCTGGGGTTGTTCCCTTCGGAAGCCGCGACTCCAACTCGGCAAACAGCAACGAGAGGGGAGCGGGAGGAGCGCCGCTCGCTCGGCACCGCGCGGACTGCGAGATCAGCTCGATCCCCACCGCCTCCTCCTCTTCATCCTCCTCCTCCTGCCGGCTTCGTCCCTAGCTGTTGTCCCTTCGCATGGTGAGCGCCCCCCCCCCGAGCCCCCGTCCCCCCCTCTAGAGAGTTTGCAACAGGACTTGTCCGCAGCCCCTTTCAGTTTAGCCTCTTGCTTTGTGTGTGGAGGTTTTTTTTTTGTGCGTTTACGTTACCGGCGCGTGCTGCGTAATCATCGCCAAGGAGCACGCGGGAGAGACTTCGTCGTCGGGTTCGTGCGGTTGTTGGCAGCGAGTGAAGTGTGTCTTACGTTGTTTGCGAAAGGAAGACGCGTGAGTTGTGAAGCTCCGTCTTGCTGTCATCATCATCAGCAGCATCATCATCAGCAGCATCATCATCATCAGCAGCATCATCATCATCAGCAGCAGCAGCATCATCATCATCAGCAGCAGCAGCAGCATCATCATCAGCATCATCATCATCAGCATCATCATCATCATCAGCAGCATCATCATCATCATCAGCAGCATCATCATCAGCAGCAGCATCATCATCAGCAGCAGCATCATCACCAGCAGCAGCAGCATCGGAATGTAATTATCTTCATCATCATCATCGGCCATGGCTGATCCACTGCTGGATGAAGGCCTCCCCAAGCCACTGCCCGCAATCTCTCTACGAGCCTGCTAGCACCTGCACACAAACTGACTTACCCGCTCCATCTCCCCCGTTGGACGTGGGGAGATGGAGCGCCACAGAGCGTTCCGTCCCTTGGAGGCTAACTCAGTCACTCGCTTTCTCCTGCCTATCCTGCATGAAATCAGCAACCACCCCCCCTGCCTAGCCACGTGTGCTGCCCAATCCCGCACACTTTGCTGGATGCAGAATCCGGAGTTTTGTTGACGGCATTGACCCGCACGTTTTCTCCAACCCACGCGTTCCTCTTCTATGGCTCTCGGTGGAATTCAGCATCAGAATCTTGGCTTCGACTGGAGGAATCCGATGAGCTTTGCTGCTCTTTGTCACAAGATGTGCAGTCGTTGCAAGCATGCATCTCTATATATCCCTCTGCTTCTTTGCACAATATGTTATGCTTAGGCGGTGTTTCTCAACCAAGTGTCAATTGCAGATAGAAACACGCACCCCCGATTATAAAGAAACCAGAGCTTACCTAACTAGATGTAATACGATACACAGCATTGGCTCTTTGACGCTTAGGATTAACGTCGTATGAAAATTGTGATAGGCGCCAATATAAATGTTAAATAATATAATGGCAGCAATAATGATGATTGTGATGTTCATGCATACCTGCCAACCCCTTATCAGTGTCCTACTTTATTACAGACCAATTGGTCACCCCGTACCATTATACATCTCAACGTTCATCCTGCAAAGTCCCATCACAAGGGAGAAACACAAACAAATAGATAAAAAATATGTTACGAAACAAAGACAGTTTTATGAATTAATTTGAATGATTGGTGTCAATGATGCGACTTATCATGCTACTGTCTGAGATCTTGCATGCTGATGCTGCTGCTTGCTTTTATTTGGCCGTATACATATTTTTGCCCGTATTGAGACGGCTGTACGTACGCCTTATGGACCTGAAAACGAAATTTCCCTGTACAAGAATACGGGCAAACCGTATGGATTGACAGGTTTGGATGATGTTCCATGTTGCGATTTTAAGATAATTCGCGAAAGTAGTACGAGTAGAAACAACAGTTCACCTGCCCAGGTTTTAAATAACCGTGCAAGGGACTCCGCTTTCCCCCAGGACTGGGCATTTTAAACCCACAACGCCAATGTTATTGCACGCAATTTGGCCTGTCAGCCACGTAATTACCACAAGGGCACTGCAGACTTGACAGAAAGGGCGATGAATATTTGGATAAAATAATAATGACGAAGTTAGTAAACTCGTCGCTGGATGAAGGCCTCCTCCGCATGCCGTGTCGGTCATTGGTCATTGTTTGACCATACTTCACCACTTTGGTTTAGTGCCTATTGGTGAAGGTAGGGGGGCCGGGGGAGGAGGGGGCTGGAAGCACCCAGGAGCGGTTTCGAATAATCGTGACCGAACTCAGATCGTCAGGTGGAGAGGCGCGTTACCAATTGAACCGCCGCTCCATCCCGATTGTTCATCGTCAATCACTCTGCGACTCTTTCTCATCTTGCCAAGAGTCCGTTGTGTGTTGAGGTAGTAACGTCGGCGCAAGTGAAACGAGGCTGTGGTGCGGTGCTTAGCGTCGCTTGCTTGGAGCTTGATTAAGAGAAGTTCACTCCCCCTTGGGGTCTACAAATCCCTTCCTGGACTCGCCTCCACCGTGACTCGCCACGCTTGCCTCTCTCTACGTGTCGCCTCCTCGTCCTCTACGTTCTCAGTCTTTGCTCTCTCGCTCTCTGTTCCTCCTCCTCCTCCTTGAGCTCAATCCACGCGTTCGCTCTTTCTCTCTTCTGGGACCCCTTCACTGGAACAAACTTCCCCTCCACATTAAACAGGCACCTACGCTCGCTAGTTTTCATGCTCCACACTCAAAACTCACTTACTGTCTCTCACTAACCCCACGACCTCTTTAATCTCTCCCTCGTAACCACCACCATTCCTCTTCATATTCTCATGATATGGCTGTCACTCATTCCCCATTCATTCAATCCATTCGTCATAATTTACTGTCATCAATTTCACTTTCGCCGAGTTCACGCGTCGCAGACTCGCCACCCATTGCCTCTTGTCATCCATTTCCTTCGCCCCATCTCCACCGTGTGTAGCACCGTCGTTAAATCACCCGAAGGTAACGCACAAGAGGTCAGCCAAGCGAAGTAACCGAGTGCTGCAATGGGACGGGGGCAACGGCGACCACCAAAATAAGTAAACAAACTTCACAGGCATCGCTGTCTTCTCGAAAGACCTGTTCTTCACCTGAGGACGGCTGCCTGCGTTGTGGCCGAAACGTCGTGAGAATTATTTTATTATGTTTTATTTTTATAATTAGATTATTTCCATTCTACGTGACTTTACCGAAAGAACCAAGAAGAGGCATCGCTTCGTTTCACCCCGAACAGTCGCGGGCACCGTTCCGGACATTTATTTTGGCACGCAGCCTCCACCTCGCCTTGTTTTATCATCCTGATGCCGCAGCGGTATGCCTGGTGGTGGTTGCTCGCTTACAGCACTTACGCCAACAGTCCGTGGAGGCTGCACGCGGGGATGATTGTCTTTGGCGGTGTTTGGGGAGCGGTGGTGCCGCGGTTAGCGCCGCGCTGCGCTACGAACTCGGCGACGCGAGTTCGATTGCCGCTCGCGTCGAACAGCGGTGACGATTATCTGAACCGGTCCTGGGCCTCCGCTAGGTCGACTCAGCCTCGAATGAGTACCTTGTGCGGTGTTTAAATATTACAACTAGGGAGACAAAGGCGGCCGGGCGTGGTGTTGCCCACCCACCCCCTCATTTGCCGTTACAGCCTTCATAGGTGCTCGCTTACAGCACTTGTCCTAACAGTCTGTTAAGGCTACACGCGGGATCTTTGTCTCTGTGGTAGTGTGTGTGTGTGGAGTGCAAAAACACACGTGAGAATAGTGCTTCGGCTCACCAGATGTCCTGAATGCCCTGAGTATTCAGCAGAATCGGGTACAATAATACAGGATTATGATAGACAGGCATACCTTGCACTGGAGTGGTAGTGCCTTGTGTCGATGATCCCTACTACAAACCAGCTTAGAAGCGTTCCGGAAAAACATCGAGCGAGAAAATGTTAAGCCCCGGTTCTAGTTCGCGTCGAACAGCTGCAATTTGCAAAACAGGGAGATTCGAGCACGAGCACCTGCGAACCTTGGAACCCGCGAATTTGCTAATTTGTGAACTTCTGAACTTACAAACTTCCGAACCTGCGCAGCGAGCGAGACCGCATGGGCGACTACTCGGTTGCTTATCGGATCGGTGCTCCCCCTGCCGCTGATGGTCCTTCCATGCCCGGCTCGTGCCAGAGTCGCCCGTGACCCCGCGGCCCAAGCGTCGCCCGGGATGATTTCGTGCGGCTCCATGGATGACCGAGCGGCCGACACTCGAGGCGGCGTCGTTTTCATGAGCGCAGCCCAGGCGGCAAACGAGCGAGCGAGCGGGATTAGAGTCACCTCTGACCTCTCTCAACCGCCGAGCTCACGCATGAAATGCCGTACACACGCACACACAGACACGCGCGCGTGTGCCCGTTTTGTAAAACGCTGTTAAACTTCTAAACGATCTTTTCTTTTCCAATCGCATTCCTCTCGGGCTATCGGCGTCACGTCACGGGGCTAAGGAATGCCAATTCGTAGCTCGCGCAGAGAGCAGTGTAACATCACCCCACGTTAGAGAGCAGCCCGTGGAACATGATATCGCAGAACTACTGCTGAGGTCCCCTTTAATTGCCTCTCGTTCACACGAGGTGGGGCTGCAACCTCCTCACACGCCCTCGGTGTCGGAGTGATTGCAGCACCCCCTGTCATTTTGAATTCCTCTCTGAAGCTCCCACAGCCCATAAACTCCAGGGTGGGCACTTTGCGATCTGCAGCCTGTCCAGATTTCCGGTAAAATTCCATCGGTCGTGAAGTAAACCTTTTTTTTTAAATCACAAATCTGGGAGTGGCAGGTGACCGGGGATGCGGGCAGGGAGGAACGAGAGGCAGGCGATCCCGGTAGAGAGGTGCGCAAGTGAGCAGGCCGACAGGCACAGAGATGTACTGGCAGAAGGCCACACACATACACACACTTGCGTACGGACAGGCATACGTTAGCGACAGGAAGACGGGCAGACGTACTGTATAGGGGAGCGTTCAAGTCGGACAAAAAAGCCTTTCGCATTCTCGCGGTTAAAAAGGCCCCACCGTGCCAGCTTGCCTCTTTAACAAAAAAGAAACAATTCCTCGGTGATTGTGCTCGAGTGTGAGAGCCGGCACCGTCATGCAAGGAGAGGGCATTCACACAACGGGCCCCGTGCCCTTCACGCCGTGGGGTTAGGGGTGCCACGGTGGCGAGATGTTAACTACCTCCCTTGGTATACAGGAGGTCGTGAGTTCTATACCGACCCTGACAGCCTGA